ATATTGCTGAGGCTGGCTTTGAACTTGGATCAATCCCAAATCACTGGGATTAAGACATATGCCACTGCCCAGGCTGAAATTTTACTTTAGGTACTGGGGATTGAACCCAAAGGCACTTTACCACTGAGCTAGATCTCCAGCCCTTTGTATTTTTATTTTAAGACACATTCTCACTAAGTTACTAAGCCTGGCTTTGAACCTGTGATCCTTTTGTCTCAGCCTCTCAAGCCACTGGGATTATAGGCATGCACCATCAAGCCTGACTGAACTTTTCCTTATTTAAAGGGAGGGACCAGAGATAAGGTCATGGTAAAGCCTGTGCTTAGCATACATGAAGCCCAGGTTCAATCCTAACCCATTTGTGGGGGGACAAATTCCACAGGAAAAAAGTTCAGAAGCATACATGTTAAATGTTAACCATTTAGAGAGGGGTTGTGACTCAGTGGTTCGATCCTCAGCACCACATAAAAATAATAATAATAAAAATGTTAACCATTATTACCTTCTTGTATGATTTCTTGTAATTTGTTTCTTACAATTAAAAAAAAGTGAAATAAAATAGGAAAAGTGACAGAAAAACACCTGTCAACATCTTTTTTTAATTAAACTTTCAGTACCCAGGATTAAACATAGGGGCACTTTACTACATCCCCAGTCCTTTTACTTTTTATTTTGAGGCGGGGTCTTGTGTAAATTGCCCAAGCTAACGTTAATTTACGATTCTCCTGCCGCAGTTTCCCAATTAACTGATATTACAGTCGTGCACCACCATGCCCAGCTACCTGCCAATATTTCTCACACTTATTTAAGAAGCCCAACATTATGCTGCAAATCATGCACCCCCACTCCAAACCAAACATCCTTTACATATATTACCTAGAAATGAAAAATATGAAATGAGAGTCAAATGCCCAATCCTTCCCCAAACCAGAGGACAAGCATACACACACACCCTGGTCCCACTTTAGCTTTCTCCTCAGTTGTCATGAACCTCCCTCGAGTTGACACAGCAGCTCCACTAAGTCGGCTGATCTAAAAGAAGAAAACATTCTATCAAAAAGATATATACACATATCAAAAAGTCATGATACATATGAATGTATACATAATTATGAATATATAACTATGTTAATAAAAAGATGTGGTACTTAATGGATTTCAATGACAGCAAGATAAATTTCCATCATAATTCATTCATTCTATCAATCAAGGCAGAAAAAACTTCTATACCTTAAATTCTTATTCTATGGTTTCTTAAACAAACGGGATTCACCCATCTGTTTCATTACCGCTTCTGCAGTTAAATTAAACTCTATCTGATTTTGAAAACATGGACCCAAATCCCCCTCATAGATATTTGACTTCTACTTGAGCTCAGACGTGTTTTTTTCTTTATTCACATGCCACTTTTCCCAAGAGTCCCAACTCTTTCGCACCTCGTCTTGTGTCTGTCCTCGAGTCAGCAAGTTCCTACACGTGAGGGGCACATCATTGATTTCTACTTCAGCTACCACCAGGTCATCCTTGCTTTTATTGCTAGTTAGGCCTTTGCCAGGGGCCTGAAGCTACAAAGACAAAGAAATTAGATTATGGTGTTTATATATAAAATACTCATTTAGTTGTCTAGTTTAAAACTATCCCTTTACTATTTCCATCATCTCTTTAATTCTTTACCTATCAACACTTTTTAAATACAGTCTTCATAAAAGATATAAAAAGGAAATAAACAATGACACCAAGTACAGACAATTTATTTGAAGGCCACCATCAAGATTTGTGACCTTGACCCTGTGTGCACTTTTATGACCCCATCATCATGGAGACTCTATGAGCTAGAAGCTGCAAAATTCTAGAAAGAAAAATTAAAGGTCCAAATTTACAGTTCAATCCAGGGACTGTACAGCATAGAGAGAATGCACAAACCCATACACCTCATTCATACAATAGCCAAGTTACCTTCTGGTAACCCCTAATCGCAACTCACCAAATTCAACTAATTCTCTCCTTGCAATAATCTCAAAATCCCTTCAATATGAAAAAAAAATCTAATCTGATTTCAATTTATTTTTAAATATTTATTTTTTAGTTGCAGTTGGACACAATACCTTTATTTTAATGTGGTGGTGAACCCAGGGCCTCGCATGTGTTAGGCATCTGCTCTACTACAACCCAAGCCCCTAATCTGATTTCAATTTAAACCACGAACAACTCTAGAGCTGGGTCTGACTGTTACCTGGTGATGGTGGTGGTGGTGGGGGGGTGGAGGGGCTGTTCAAGAAAAATAAAATGCTATTTTACAGCACATGCCTACCATGAATGAGGCCCTAAATTCGATCTCTAGAACCAGCAGAAAAAAATTAAAAAATAAGTAAAAATAAAAACATTGTTTAATGTAGATGTTAGATGTATTTTTAAAATGTGGAGGCAAGCTAGGCATGGTGGTACATGCCTACAATCCCATCAACTTGGGAGGCTAAGGCAGAAGGATCCCAAATTTGAAGCCAGGCTCAGTAATTTAGCAAGGACATAAGCAACTCAGCAAGCCGGTCTCAAAAAATAAAAAGGGTTGGGGTGGTAAAGCATCTCGGGGTTCAATTACACACACACGCTTCTAAAAGTAAATATCAAAATATCAATATTGTTTGACAGGAATTTGTGATAATCAAGTGTTCTATATCTGAGCAGTCCAATATGGTTACCATCAACCACACGTTTCTCTATAGCTCTTTAAATGTGGCTAATGTGACTAAAAAGTAGGATTTTATATTACATTTAATTTATATAGCTGTACATAACTGCAACTACCACACCGGACAGTGGCAGTATGTATCACCTATTAGAAAAATGAGGTTGAAGAGGGGATTTGGGGATAGTAAAGATGGTGGAATGTGATGGACATTATCACCCTAGATATATGTATGACTGCATATATGGTACAATGCTACATCATATACTGAGAAATGAAAAGTTGTGCTGCAATTGTGTACAATGCATCAAAAACGCATTCTGCTATCATATACACCTAATTAAATAAAGAAAACTGAGGTTCAAGATGTCAAAGCCAGGTAGTATTTCGTCTAAATCCAGTATACTTTTATATTTCATGTTGCTTCCAGGAAATTATCCAGGGGTAGAGGGGGTTGAATTGAAACCAAGGCCTTGCAGGTGCTAGGCAAGTGATATAACACTAAGCTACATTCCTGGTCCTTTTTATGTTATTCTGAGATAAGTCCTACTATGTTGCCCAGGCTGGCCTTGAACTCGTGTTACTACTGCCCCAGACTCTTGAATCACTGGGATTATAAGAATGTACCACCCTGCCTCAACTATCATTTTATTTTTTTTTTATTTATTCATTTTTTTTNCTCACACGAGTGAGGTGAGCACTCTATCACTGAGCCACAGCCCCAGCCCTACTTTTCTCCCTTTTAATTAAAAATTCTGCTAGGGAAAAACTATACAGCTATGGTCTGGGTAAAGATTATTTGGATTTAATTCCAGAGGCTCAGACAATGAAAGCAAAAACAGACACACARGATTACATCAAAGTAAAAAGCTTCTTAAGAGAAAAGCAAACAATCGACAGTATGATGAAACAACCTACAGATTGGGAGAAAATATTTACAAATCACAGCTGATAAGAGGCTGATATCCAAAACACATAAGGAACTCAAACAACTCAATAGCAAGAAAATAAATGAACTGATTTTAAAATGGGCAAGAGCTGGATGCAGAGGGACATGCCTGAAATCCCAGTGACTCAGGAGGAGAGAGAGGAGGATTATAGGTTCAAGGCCAGCCTCAGTAATTTAGTGAGAAGGCCTAACAACTTAGTGAGATTCTGTCTCAAAGTAAAAACTAAAGTGGGCTGGGGAGTGCAGCTCAGTGGTAGCACCCTTGGGTTCAATTCTCAGTACCAAAAAATAATAAAAAATAAATGATTTAAAAAATTAAAAATGGGCCTAAATAGATATTTTTCAAAAGATGATATACAAATAATCAACAAATATATGCAAAAAAGCTGAATGTCACTAATCATTAGGGAAATTCAAATTAAACCAAAATGAGATTATCTTCTCACACCTGTCAGAATAGCTACTATCAAAAAGATGAAAGAGGCCTAAGGCTGTGGCTCAGTGGTAGAGCACTTGCCTAGCTTGTGTGAGGCACTGGGTTCCAGTTGTCAGCACCACATAAAAATAAATAAAATAAGGTCCATCAACAACTATAAATACATTTAAATAAGGGGGGGGCTGGGAATGTGACTCAGCAGTAGAGCATGCACCTAGCACATGTGAGGCCCTAGGTTTCGATCCTCAGCACCACATAAAATAAATAAAATAAAGGTATTGTGTCCAACTACAACTAAAAAAAAA